TTAAAGTGATCATTGTGTCCTTTACACAAACAAAAGTGGTTTGAAATTGTCTGATAATACATTGTTCCAGTTAGAGGATGTGTGACTTCATGTAGCTATTTAGATTAGGTAATTTATTTGACAGTAATTGTATTGTATACAATTTTTGAAATGCTTATGGGCTATTTTAAGAGGTCTTGCAGGGTGTAGGTTGTTATGGTTTAACCATGTACACGAGTGTATGAAAATATCCACTGAAATTGTGTATTAAGCTGAACTTCAGTGTGGTAGAGTTTTCCTGGGTTTGTTACTACATTTCTAACTGTACTTACAGCTTTGGGTAAAATATATGAAATGCTTGGGAGTTTCATGAGGAGTACCTCCTATTTTAAAAATAGTTCTATAAAGATTTTATCTTTTGCTGATACTGAATTTAACAAACAAAACAATTCTGTCGTAAAAAACCCTGCAGATCAGTTGCAGAATTCTGTCTGAATGTGCATAAAACAATACATTCAACATACCTCTGCATGATAATCAGAACAAGTGGTTTCTTGCTGTGCTGTGCATTCACAGTCGTTTCTTCATACGACGGTCCTAACAGCATGTGTTTGATTTTGCTCCTTACTAGCAGCAGAAGAATTTGAAATGCTGCAATTTGAAGTTAACTTCCTGGCAGCGGTGAGAGTTGCCTGTCAGGCCATGCTTGATTTTTTGATGTCACCCTGAGAAAATCCGTTTAAAATAATTTGATAACATTTTTCAGTGCCTGACTGTGCCCTCTTTGTTTAACATGTCTCAGAGTAACAGCTTCTGATCTGGCCCAAATAATGTTGTTATTGTTTGATCAGTGTTACCATTAATTGGACTGGAGATAATATTTTGGAATAGGTGAATACGTTTGCTTTATACTTTAACCGCTTGTAACACAGAAGCGATATCAAAATTTTAAACTTTTAAAAGATAAAATCTGGCAACAAAGTGAATCATACAGGTAGTTACTGGAAACAGATACATCCATTCTGATTTCTATCTAAATGAAATGACATTTAGAGATTTTTGGGGCAATAGTGTAAAATTTAGCATTCTGCATGTTAAGTCTACCTTTGAGGAGGACACCAAAGAAAATATAAACGATGATTACCATTTTTCCCAGGGAAAATGGGCAAATGGTTTCCTGACCCATTTAATCTTACAATTAAATTATAAATGTCTACCAGCATTTTGTATTTGCATATGAGATGGATGTGTGTCAGCATGCACTGAACCAGATAGGGGTCTACACATCTGGCAGTTGAGAAATGGGTCTTTTGGTTGTGTGGTTTTTGCTTTTATTTTTGTATTTAGTAATTTCTCAGCTTGGAAAACAACCACCCTGACACCCTTTCTATAATGATTGGTATTTTAAAACCTCAAATGTCCCCCATCCCCTTACCCTTTTGATGAACTGATGAAGAGGAAATCTATGTATTTGCTTCAGTTAGTGAATTTAAATAAAAATCCCTGTGGTTATTGATTACAGCAAATACTCACCTTCTGCATTTTTGTAGAAATCACTTAGAAGTTCAAGTATTTAATCATGTCATAGGATTTTAAGAGAGCCTAATGGCCAGATTCAGCTTGCATGCTGTAGGCGACGTGATCTGTGGGCAGAACCAGCACCTCTGAGGCATGTGTTGGTGCATTCAGGAGAGGTATCTGCCTCTCTGCATTGGTGATAGGAGAGTTTTAGGGTGTCTGTGGTTGCTCATACTGTTGGCAGTGCAGGGACATAGCCAGTCTGCACCTTGGACTGTTAACCCTCCTTTCAAACTGGGATGGATACTGTGGGGAGTGGGACTCTGTGGGTGTCTGTGGTATGGATGGCCAGCATGCTGGGATTGAATGCTGGATACATTAGCTGTCTTTTGATGGTAAATGGTCAGGAGAAGTTGTCTTGACTTGGACTTGATTCTGATCCTCTTTGTTTCTGGTGGCAGTCAGATAAAAGGGGCAGATGCTTTTACTGTTCAGGTGGTGGTTTGGGTTTTCTTTGGTTTTTTTCATGTAGGTACCCAGAAAGCGTACAGCTGGTGTAGGCGTCGCTGCAATAGGAGCTACCTGCAAAGAAACAACCAACCAACCTAAAAAAACCCTAAGGTGCAGAGGTTGTCCCTCAGGCCTGCCACACCTGACCATTTGTGAAAGGGAGGAGAGCACCTGTCTGCCTCTGCCATCCCTGTGTATGCAGAGAGTGGCTCGGCGAGGCTGCATGTTTACTGGTCTTCCATTCTCTGTCTCCTGTCTCTGGTTCTGTGAGCAGAATATGAACAGCAATTGCAATAAGATGCCATTGAAAAATCTGTCAGGGATTTGTGTCATGATTGACAAAGGAGTTTTGTTATATTTGGAAGATGTAGTTATATGTAGAAGACAGTGAAAGGCAGAAGCAAAGTAATTTTCTTTGTTTGGGAAAGTTAAGCAGGGGTTTGTTTCGGTTCTGCTGGTAGGGAAGATGACAGTTGGAAATAGTTAAATTCTGTACCTGTTAAACTCTAATGAAAACTAGAGCATATACAAACATGCTGCTCCTCCTTATTGCCTGAGGGCGACTCTGATCATATTTTGTGACCAAAGGTATATTATTGAAAGAACAAGTATTAATTTGTATTTTGGTGTTTTTATTTTATTATGCTTTTAAATCTATTACTGAACCTTTGGAGTTCAACATGTTGAAGCTCACTTGCAGTTAGCAAGATGGCACATTTTCTGTATAGAAGCCAAATCTTTAATTACAGAACTGTGTACCAGCAAATTATGTATTACCTTTCCAGAAATCACTAATAACATAATAACTATGAATTTCTGAGTGAACAGTAGTGAGTTAAACACTTAAATATCCCAAGCTTTGTTCATTCCTCACCTGGCATCACAGGCAGAGAAAATGAGATATGCCATATATTTGATCTTTTTCCAGTGCTTTTGTAAAGGCTGAAACATATTTTCTTTGGTGCATCACTGCCTTTTGGTAAAATGAGGTGAGAAGTTCCATTTCCTGTCATGAGCCAACCAAAACTCAGAATTTTTTCCGTGTCCAATTTTGAATTTTTGTTCACATTACAAATCGATGTGAAACCGCAACTACTGGGTCTTTCTGGCATGTACAAAACATTTGTTCAGCTAGGAAATGAGTGGGAGGGAAAAGAGCCAGGGATGACATGTCCAGATGGGGCTGTGTAGAGTGCTGTGGAGCTGAACACCTGGCATCAAAGGAATGGGGAAATACAGTCCATTGCTGTGTGTCTGGATACAGGGCATCTATGAGAGTGGGCATTGCAGCTTTGTTGGGGACCAGCAGTTCTTTAATGCTGATGCTTCGTGAAATGTGGTGATTTGATGCTACGTTTAAAAAAAAAAAAAGTTATAGACACTTTGCCAGTAATTAATTTGATAGTTTTAGAAAAGATGATCATAGAATCACAGAATGGTTTGTGTTGGAAAGGACCTTAAAGATCCTCTAGTTCCAACCCCCCTGCCATAGACAGGGACACCCTCCACTAGACTAGGTTGCTCTTCTAGTCATCACAATTTGTAAAAATTGTAACCAGTCTTTAAATGAACTTGAGTTATTTCTAGGTAACAGCCCACGCCTGCAGCAGTAGCCTGGGCTGCTCCCAGGTTGATCATTAGCAGTGGGGAGGACTTCTCTCCCACTGTGGAACCTGCACTATTAGAACATCAGGTGGAGGGCTTCTCAGGGTTTCTACATTTAAGACATGGAGAGTTTCATATTGTTTGCTTTCAGTATTGTTTCTGAATTATAGGCTGTGAATGTTGCTGTTAGGCATAATAAGGATTTTATTCTTTGGAGTCCAGAATCAATACTGATTGGATTGTTCTGTGTAGAAATTTGAAGATAGAATGAGGTGGAAGGGGGTTGGACTAGATGATCTCTAGAGGTCCTTTCCAACCGCTACCACTCTGTGAATCTGAATCTGTGGAATATTTGGTATACAACATGTTGGTGTGTTACTGGTCTGCTGTTGGCTTTAGAGATTACATGTGTCCGTCTGCCTTGATAAGAAATTCTGTAAATCAGAGTTGAATACTTTTAACCCATTATCCCTTTTCCTCTTGTTGTTACTGTTTGTTCAGTCATGGGAAAAAACTGTTTTTAGTGCTTCCTAAACCTTGGATTGACTCTGCCATATGTCAGTACAATGGAGGTGTAGGATTACTGCAGGGATTAATAGGAGTGACACTGTTCCTGCATGTGTATTGAATGTAAAAAGGGGAGAGATGATGTGGGGAAGAATCTTGGTATTATGAAACTTGTTAATTTTCTTATTAGGTAACTAATGGAAAGTTCTTCTGCTACAGATCTCTCTAGAAGAAATGAGGAATCGGTTTAGTTCAGAGTCTGTATTAATGTAAATTTAGTTCTGTTTGCCTGGCTCATTTTATTTATCTCTTTTCTTTAAATAGGCATGAATTAAGCTTTGCAGCGGGACTGGTAGGATCCTGCTGACTTTAGTGAGGCTTGACATGGTCCATGAACAATGCAGTGTATTTAGGTTAGCAAATACTGTCATTTTAGAATTTCATCCTGTGCTCATGAATGACATTCTTCCTCCTCACCCACTTCTCTGGAATTACTAGACATACAGCTGAAGTAGTGGCTTTAGTAACCTTAATGGCTATTGGATTAAAAATTCACTATTCCATAATGAGGCTCCTTCCAGCTGAAAATCTGAAATGAAAATAATGCTTATGTCATTGCCAAAATCCTGTGCTTTTGAATACTCCTCATATTTAATCCTTTATTTTAAAAAAAAGTATTACCGTGTAATACAGTCATCATTCTTATTTATTCAGAATATAGGGTTTTTTAGTTCAGTTCCCTGTACTATATGCAGAGTTATGATTGAAACTTTAAGTATACTTTAAAGGATACCTTACTAAAATAGGAGAGACGCGTATGTTTTTTCCAATAAAAATTAATTTTTGAAATAAATTTCTTAATTGTGGATCTTGTTTTTAAGTTCCTCTTAAGGAAAAGAAAAGTTTACACACCCTTCCAACCCAGTGTTTAAATGTGGGCTTAACTTCTAAACCTCCGAGTTGGTTCACTGATGTCAGTAAGTACACACGCCATGAGGCTTTTGTCGAATTCGCTCCCTACAACTTTGAGAGTCGCTGCAGCGAGGCAGGCGCTGGTCCAGGGGAGCCGAGGAGGGCCCAGGAGCCCTGCCGATGGGCTGTGAGCGCAGCGGTGTCAGTGGTAGTGCTGTCCTTGCAAAACCCTTGAGTGCTGTAAGTTAGAAAAGTCGTAATGGTCAAAGGTTGCTCTGGAGGGGTGAGAAGCAATTTTTCAACTGTGCCCATGTGACTGGTGTAACCTGTTGGCCACTTCCATTTCTGCCCTTGAGAAAGTTTTGCTTTTATAAGGGCCCTCAGCTTGGTATTGGTGTAATGCATACTGACCGTGTTGCCTGTCCACTGATATAAATGCTGTTATTTAAGGCAACGTGGTCCAAAGGCTTTCTGTTGCAATGGGATTGAAAGTAAGTCTGAGCATACTTATGTTTAAAACAGTACAGATGAGTGGTTATCCTTTTTTTCCTTCAGGGAGTGAGGGTGCAACATGGAGATATCTGTCCTTGAAGCCCTTTCTTATTCTCCCTTTACTGTTAATTTTGGTAACTAATTTCTTCCAAAGCTGGTGGAGCGACAGAAGCCTCGCAGTTGCTGAATTCCTGCCACCTTTGGAGCAGTCTGGGACTGGGTGCAAATGGCCTTATTAGTTCCCAGAAATAGAGGGTGGTTAGGCAGAAAAGCTTTAGGACACTGTCTGATTATAGACTGCTTTTGCTAATACATAACTTCAAGAATACTACTTTTCCAGATGTGTAAGTTTACAAAGTGACTCTTATGGATATCCTGCTAGATAGAAAACACGTATTTTAATGGTTGTAACTACATAAATATATTTGATCTGTAGTTAAATTTTGTTCTGTTTTTCAGTAGTAGTACATGATATGACGGTATTAATCTGTACATCTATGATATGCATTTTAAACTAGCTACTTAAAATTGGCCGTAGATACCAGAAACGTCTTAGTAACTTTTTCCTTGGTATAATAAAGTGTATATTTTTTGTTGTCTGGTGTTGATCAATAGACTGTTGTGGAAGGTTGAATAAAACTATGTTGCTATGGCAAAATGGTATTCAAAAATCTGAACTGAATCCTGCATTTGTCATTTTTGTGACCTTTATATTCCTTCTTTGTTAGAACTATGCAGCACTGATACAGCAACAAATTCATGAGGACAAACAAAACTTGAGAGAAAAGACTGTATATGGAATCCAGCTCACAGAAGAAAAACTTAATGACTTCCGCGATGAACAGATTGGGCAGCTGAAGGAACTGATGGATGAGGCTACCAAACCTAATAAAAAAATCACCATTTCTAAAGACTTGGAACACAAAACCTAAAAGGGTTTAAAAATTGATTTAATGCATATGGGAGCATCTTGAAACTTCATTTTCCAGTTGGACTCAAATGTGGTTTCTATGGAATAATGGGCACTGCAGATGCTGTAACTTGCCTGAAATGAACGTCTCTGGCTATTTGGTTTGCCATATATGAATAAATGTTAAAATGGAATAATCACATCAATTTTATTTTAATTGCAGTATTGTTTTCCTCCTAAGGGAAGGTGGAGACTTAAAAGAATTCTGGTAAAAGTAAATTGATATTTTTAAAATAGAGAGTTTTGCTTAGTTTCTTTTTTTTTTTTTTTAATCTTAGCAGACATAGGGCAGAACATCTTTCTGTTTGTGTACCATCTTTTGCCTTAATGGAAAAGATGCAATTAGTGTTTGTTTTCTGATGTAGATGAGTGGGCTTATTTCAGTGGAAAGAAATGAGCAGTGTTAGAAACATGTACTGCTGTTGAAATTGAAGGTTGGTTTTATTCTTGATCTTTGTTGTGAAATGTGCTTTAAAATAAACAGTGTAGTTCATTATTGAATTGACCTTGGACGAACCACTGGTTTATGAAGAAAATTGTGCATTTTTTTTTTTTTAAAGTTAGACTCAAGTTATTGTTAGTATCTAAAATTAAAATTAAATCATGAGTTGGTTGGGCTGTAGTAGGAATTCAAAGGCTCAGTATCTCACATTATTTAATATTTTATATAGACCAGAATTTGTAAACTTAATCACAGAAATTATCCTGATGATAATGTAATTTATAGGCAATAGGTTAAGTCTTCATGGATTTGGAACTGGCTGAAGGAAAGAGCTGACAGTTGTGGTCAATGGGGCAGGGTTTAGTTGGAGGCCTGTGGCAAGTGGC